TGACCCCTTTAAGACTGGTTTTGTGCTCCAGGGTCACATATATTATATAGCACTTTTGAAGTTTGCATGAAACAGAATTCATGACCAGCTTCACTTCAGTATTCTGACGTATTTCCGATGGAATGGAATACTGAATGAGAACAAATAGAGACAGGGCTTATTTTTAATACACCTCCTTAAAATTTCTAACTTGAAGCAGGCTGGCAGTTAGAGAGGACTGGTTAAAAGATGTTCTTCCCAAACAGTCAAACTGAAATCATCAGAGAAGGAAAGTCATTCCAAGGGGATGCACATTTTCTGATCTTGATTAAAGACTGATTTTTTCCTGCTGTTGAGTAACTTGCACAGATGAATTGTTCACCACAAGACGAGTAATCTGCACTTACAAAGTAAATAAGGTCAATTTTGATTTCATGCTTTAAAGGAAAAGATCACACACAAAAACAATATTTGCTGAACATTTCCTCACCCTCAGGCCATTCTTTGTTTCTTTATTGGAACACATTTTGAGAAATTTAGCATTACATCACTTGCTCAGATCCTCTGCAGTGAATAGGTGCCGTCAGAATGAGAGTCCAAACAGCTGATAAAAACATCACAATAGTCTAAACAATGTTTTTAACTGTTGTTTCTGGCTAAAACATGAGTCCTCTATCCATAAAATTGCTTTCTCCAGTGAAAAAGTAATCTTGTCTGAATCAGGAGAGAAATATGCAGAGATCAAGCACCGTTTACAAATTAAAACAGTCCAGAAATCCCTAAACAAATATGTTGGTGGATTCTGATGTGAGAGACAACAGTAGATAGACTTTTTCACCGGAGGAAGCGTTATTATAGATTATGGAACCATATTTTGGTCAGACGTGACAGTTTGAAGTTAAAACGCCTCAATGATGGATTTGTTTCTTACAAACACACAGCTTTTTGCTTCACAAGATGTTAATTGATGGACTGGTGTGGTGTGGATTACTTGTATTGTGACGTTGTCATCAGCTGTTTGGACTCTCATTCTGACGGCACCCATTCACTGCAGAGGATCCGTTGATGAGTAAGTGTTGTAATGCTACATTTCTCCTCATCTCCAAATTTCAAGCTGCATTTTAGATGGCCTGAGGGTGAGCACAAGTTCAGCTCTCCTTTCCTTTTGAATCTCAAGCGGTGAGTTGTGAGGCCGGTAGTCTGCTGGAGGAATGACTGACGTTATGAGGTATGAGCTCATCTTCTGTTGTTCACAGGAACAGACGAGGAGACCATAATTTCCATTCTAGCGAACCGCTCTGCAGCCCAGCGGGTGGAGATT